CGGGTTCGGGCCGGGTTCGGGCCGGTTCGGCGGGCCGGGTCAACCCGTGGCCATGTCTAGCCGCCAAGTTCCCGCATAGACGCTAGGCGCTGGTCGAGCGCCTAGCGGGCGCCTAGTGACTCTGATGCGAATGAGGGTCGTCAGCTGAAGAACGAGTACAACCGAGCTCGTCAAGCTAAAACGAAGCTGCAGAAAAATTTTGCATTTTCAGGGGTTAGCGGCGCTAAGGACCTGAGCGCCCGCTAAGGCTGAGGATAGCTGGGACAGAGGCTTCACGCTAAGATGATTAGCGGCCAGTAATAACCCTTAGCGGCGCTAATGCCTGGGCGGGAGCAGTTTTATTTCAGTTTTCTTTTCGTTTCAAGTGTATTTGGGTAGTTAGTAGTGTTATTTGTATGCGTTTTTGGGACATTTTCAAACTATCTTTGGCATTTGTTATCATATTTCTTAAAAAAAAGCTTGTTTCCAAGCAAACCATAGTGTCTAAACCGAGTTCTTTAATTCGGTTTTGATACAAAGTTCGATACTCGATACACGATTCGTAACACTCTTAGAACACTGATAGGAAGTAGCAAGAAAATTGGTTGTTTTATTTTTACTTTTTATTTATTTATTTATTTATTTATTTATTTTTGGATGGAACTATGATTGGATTTTTAATTCGAACTTTATTTTAAATTCTGATTCTACTCAATATTATAAATAATTAAATAACAAAAACAAATCACTGCAGTACAATTTTTTTATAACTCTTTCTCTGTTCACATTCTTTTAATATATATATATATAATTACTGGCTAATGAGCATTTAATAAAATCTATTAAATTATACTTAGGTGGCAATATAATTTTTTCCCTCAAAAAATCGTTACTTTTTATTCATTTAACTTCTCATTTAATTATTAGGTAATCAATACACTAATTATTTTAAAATTACAAAAATCATTTTAAATTTTCTAATTACTTACAGTTGACCATATAATGTGTTGACTATTTAATGTGAGTAGATGTTATTGTTGTGGTTACATTTAAATTAACTTCTTTCGGAAAATAAAAAAACATATTTGAAATTCCTAAATAAATAATACGTAATTCACAAAAAAAGATACATACCAAAATATTCATTATATCCAATATGATAAACGCAATTTAAAAAATTTAAATATTTCAGCTCCTTTAATTGTAAATTTAACAAAAATTATTAATCATTATATGTATACAAATAACTCACAATATTTTATTTATATATTTGTGCAAATGCACAGGTTGAATACTAGTTACTAATTATTTATAACTATTATTTTACTACATTTATATCACATAAAGTTAAAAAGTCGTTATATTTTTAGAAATTTCAAACAAAATGCAAGTTAGCGGCCGAAAACCCTCTTAAGCATTGTCAGAAAGCATATATTGTGGAAATGCGATAATGGGCCAATATCCTTTAAGCCCAAATAATATGATGGGCCCACATTTCTCAAACTATGTCCTTCTATACTCCGCTCATCTTATCTCAGTCGACCGATATCCCAAAGCCATATCCAGACACTCTGAAATTCATTCATCCAAAAGCTCGCTCCTCAGCTAAAATGGCAGCTCTAGCGCAGCAAATTGGCGGATTCAGATGCCCACCAATTTCAACTGTTGAAAGGAGGCGTTACAGTAATGTGCTGCCTAAAAGGAGAAGTGTAATTTCAGCAGCCGCTGTTGCTATAGCGAACGCGGAGACGAGAGAGAGGATGAATCTGAAGAAGATGTTCGAGGAGGCGAGTGAGAGGTGCCGTATGGTGCCAGTGGAAGATGTGGCCTTCACCGTCGAAGATTTTCAGACTGCCGTCGACACTTACGACTTCGAGTCGGAAGTTGGCGCCAAGGTGACTTTTTTTTTTTTAATTTCTCTGTGTGTGTGTGTGTTGTTAATTTCCTGTAATTTATTCAGAATTCAGCTCTGTCATGAGCTAGGATGCGTTTGCAGTTTCCAAGTTGTAATTTTGGTCTGTGGGTGTTGAAAATTGGCCGTGGTTTGGGGGAGTTACCAGGCGTGTCCTGGAGTGAAAGCGTGGTTTAACCATTAATGTCTTGACTCTAGCATGACATAGACACTGATGATTGAGTTATGGAAGTTTGATGGTTGAACTGGAATTGATATTTTTTGTTTATTTTGCTGGAAGGGCAGAATCAAGAAAATAAACATTATGCAATGTACATTTATGTTTCTGGACCGGAATTTCCTTGTTCACGATCCTGTTTCACTTTTTCGTTTCCCCTTATTAGGTCAAAGGAACAGTTTTTAGCACAGATGAAAGTGGAGCATTTATTGACATAAACTCGAAAGCATCAGCTTACTTACCTCTAGTTGAGGCATCCATCCACGACATCAAACATCTGGAAGAGGCTGGCATAGTTCCTGGTTTCTGTGAAGAATTTTCAATTGTTGAGATTGAGGAAGATGATAGCTTGATCTTGAGCCTTAGTTCGATCCAGGATGACCTCGCCTGGGAACGGTGTAGACAACTTCAAGCAGAGGATGCTGTTGTCAAGGGTAAGGTATGGGTTTTCCAATATTGAATTTACATTCTTTTACATAGTGATTTGTTGTTGAGTGTTATTTGCTTCGTCATTTGCAACTTTAGTAGTTTGTCTTGTAGCTCCTTCCCCATAGTGTCTGTATGAAACATGCCTTAACTCAATTTATTCTTTTAATATTGATAACAGGTAGTTGGCGCTAATAAAGGAGGACTGGTGGCAGTTGTGGAAGGTCTTAGTGGTTTTGTTCCATTTTCACAATTTACAACAGTTAGTTCTTTCTTCTGAATGATTTTTATTGCTTAACTATGCTGCTTGTGTTTTTTTTTTTTTTTTTT